TTAATAACTGAACCAAAGAAAGGTTACGAGGACACTTACCTGGTGTGTGTGTGTCCCATTGATCGCTAAGCTGCTCCGTGTGTCCCAGTGATCGCTAGTATGCTTTGTGTGTCATATAGATCATTAGGCTGCTCCGTAAGTGTTACATTGATCACTAGGCTGCTCCGGATGTGTCACATTGATCGCTAGGGAAATCTGAACATCACATTGATCACTAGAGGTGGTCCATGTGTGTACCACAGTGATCGCTAGGCTGCTCCGTGTGCGTCATTAATCGCTAGGCTATTACATATATGTCACTTTGATCACTAGGTTGTTCCGTATGTGCTACATTGATCACTTGGTTGCTCTGAATGCCAGTGATCGCTAGGCAGCTCCATGTGTGGCAGTGATAGACTGTTCCGTGATAACTTCTTGCCTCTCTTAAGTACAATGTATACGACACAAGTCTGTTGGATATAATCCACCGGTGAAGCTTGCCCAACTTGTAAAGCTTATATAGTTCAACATTTAACGTATTGGTAAGACTGTTGGTGTTTGTAATATATAAGACCACAAGGCAATTTTGTTTTAAGTTTAACTTATCTTATGACTTTAGAAATATCCCTCATATACAATATTCAATTTCTTTATTATGCACCCCATACCCATCCCGTGGGCGGTGGTGTAAAGGGTTACAGAGGCACAGAATCGGTTCAGGAACTGAACCCTCTTAGTTCGTTTAGCTTAACAATTAACTTTCATTTACAATAGATCGAAGATTTGTTATATAATTAACTCGGGAACTTCATTTTTGTTTTTATGAGAAGAGACGAGGAATTATTTGATATAGATTGGCGGAGGACGAAACCGATTCTGTTCTTTATTTAACACCAAGCCACACCGGTGTCGTTATAAGCTCCAGGTATAAACAAACATGAGGTAAAAACATAAGGAAAATGAAAACAAAAGAGAATAAAATAATATGAACCTAACATGGGTAATATTAAATATTATACATCACACTCAATGCTAACATTACTTTTTTTCTTTATTGAATAATATACAATATAAAGATGATATTTACATCAATTTACAAGGGAAAATATTATATTTATATATACTGTATTTATATAATTCTCAGTAAACCAATTTTCCATATCACAGAGCATGAGTCGTAAACCCCAAATGTTATACTTGATCCTGCCTCGTAAGAACTTCAGTATTCTGTCTACTAAGTAACCCTCCAGCCTGCCTATCCACTCAAAAAATATAATCAGAAAGTAGCATAATTATTGTATTTTTAATTTTCTTTCATTTTATGTTAATATGAAACATTTAAAAACCTCATTAACTCCATTCTAATACTTGGTCCACATAAACCTTTAAGAGTGTCTCTAATCCAGTTTACAAGAACAACTTCCTGCTTACAGAAATAAAATATATGCATATTATTTTCAATTTCAGTACATTGGTCACATCTATTGTTGTCCTAATGGCCAACATCAAGAAACTCTATTTGTTTCTGCCTTGGCCTGAAAACGAACCCGGGCTCTTAGGATTACGACCTCCAAGCGCTGTCCACTCAGCCGCAAGCCCCATGTGTGTAATTACCTAAGTGTAGTTACAGGATGAGAGCTACGCTCGTGGTGTCCCGTCTTCCCAGCACTCTTTGTCATATAACGCTTTGAAACTACTGAGTTTGTATGTGTGTGTGTGTGTGTGTTTGTAAGTGTATGTGAATTTATTGATTATTCGAGCATAACGATAAACATTCATTACAAAAAGTATAATCACATACCGTCCAGAGTTCACTCCTTATCTCCGCTCTGAAAATGCTTTTTCGATTATCGTCGTCCGGTCCACAAGGCCTGGAAGCTTATCGATACCTGATAATTACTATTGATTTATCACTTATAAGCTTATGATTAAAAGTTGGCCTTATGAATACAAAGCCAACTTTTATATTGAAATATAATAAAATATATTGAAATATAATGAAATATATTGAAATATAATGAAATATATTGAAATATAATGAAATATATTGAAATATAATAAAATAGAGAATACAATGAAAGCAGTACGCAATTACCTAAGCCTATTGAACTATAATCTGTTCTTGTTCAAGTGCTTTCTTCCTGTTCTGTAATTATTTGTGAACAAATTATACTACAGCCACCTATTGTCTACTTTCAGTTTACAGAAAGTTCAAGTTTTGTTCTTCATAACGGGTGTTTACAGACTCAGACACCAGTCTATTTATACACACATACTTTTTTTTGTATACAACATGTCAGTCTGCCACACCGTTCTCGCCCTTCGCAAGCTGCCCTTCGCTAAAGCTTACGGTAAGGTACCACATGGAAGACTGTCAAGGTGCGTTACAAGCACGGGGACTGAATGGTAGAGTGCTAGTATGGATAAAATAATGGTTTAAAAAAAAAGCAAAGGGTCGTGGTAAATGGGAATGAATCTAACTGGAGAGATGTGGCGAGTGGGGTGCCACAGGGGTCCATTTTGGGGCCAACACTTTTTGCCAGATACCTCAATGACATAGATGAGAATATTACAAACCACATTATAACATTTTCACGTGACACTACATTTTATGGTAATGTGGGAAGAGAAAATGATACTGCGGTCTTACAAAGATATCTACATGAACTCCACAAATGATCTTCCGATCATTTGTGGAGTTTTTTAATATCGAAAAATGTCTTTTAATATCGGAAATGCAAGATATTGCTTGTGGGACACAACAATGTACGTCACAAGTAAAAAATTAACAACATTACGTTGAGGCAAACCGATGATGAAAAGGAAAATGGAGTCAGAATTCATCATTCACTAAACGTTGCAGAAGTGGGAGTCGCAGTAAGAAAAGCAAGCCAAACTCTAGGAATAGTCAAACGAACCTTTGACCTCGAGAACAAGATGGTAGTGTTACAACTGTGTAAATCTCTGGTGCGCCCCCACTTGGATCATTGCATCCAGTCATAGACACCTCATCTTCACAAACACGTTTGTTTTGGGAAAGTTCAACACCGGGCGACTAAACTCATTCCTGAACTAAGTCTACTACTAAGTCTAAGTCTTATACCAGGAAAGGTTGAGGGCCTCAGGGCGAACATTGCAAACCAAACATGACAGGGCTGATCTCATCCAAACTTTTAAAATACTGAACAATTTGGAGGATTTTGATCATGACAGTTCTTTCAAATGGTCAGATGTAACACAAACAAGGAGCAACGTTTTCAAGCTGAACAAATTACAATGTAGGACTGAAAATAGGAGATGCTTTTTCACTCGTAGGATCATAAACCCGTGAATCCGCCTACCCGCCGAAACCCTAAAAGCCAAAACACCGCAGAATTTGTAAATTTAACTCGATTCAGTCATCAGGACAAATGGGGGCTATCTTTGACAAGCCATCGGCTTCCTGTTCTCGTCAAAGCCACTAGAGAGATGGTGTCCCTCGGGTATATTCAGGTAACTTTGTCAGGAGTAGCGAAGCTCATCTACCCCACTGACACAAAGTGATGTCATCTACCATTACTGCAAAGTTTTTTTCCAAAAACTAATCACTAGGACTTCTACAATCACTACTAAATAATTATACACCATCTAACAATTACTGATGTCAACAAAAGGAGTGATACCTCAAGGAATTTGTAGTTGAAAATATCGAAGTAACCAAACTCCTTATCTGTTTCAGATAATCATATGAGGAAAAATCATTTCTAAGGTGATTATTACTACCAAAAAATGAGCTCATTAAACAATATAATAATCAAATAAAAGCCCTTAAATTAGTATACATAAAAGCAATTCAGTGGCGTCAGGCTACGAGGAACACTCCCAGGAATAGACCATACTTGCCCTGGACCACGGGACCTGAACCTCAGCGTGGGAAGCCTAGTCATTGCTTCCCCCGGTAAGCTTTCTGATGACGTAAGGGGTAAGGAGGAAGAGAGGGACAGAATGATGGATGGAGAGAGGGAGATTAGGACGAGGAGAGGTAAGGGATAGGATAGGGGAAGGCAGAGAGAGCAAGTCAAGAAGAGATGTGGTGGAAAGGTGAATGAATAGGAAAAAAAAGAGAGCGAGAGTTCTTAACGTAGTTTCATTTCTCAGAGCACCCACACCTTTCTCAGAGAACACACACCCTCTCAGAGCACACACACCCCTGTCTCAGAGCACACACACCCCTGTCTCAGAGCACACACACCCTCTCAGAGCTCCCAAACCAGCCTTTAAAAACCGTAGAATTTAGAACTCGCAAGCCCTGGGCCAGGAATTATTCCCGTAGTTACCCCCCTAACCATCAACGAGTGGAATTTTTATGACGTGAAGTAAGTCCATCATTGTCAAGGGTGAGAGGTGAAGGAAGGCTGACGGGTGGAACTATACTGTCACTCCTACTTCTATTACTTCTACTACCACGTGGTGGTAAGGGGAAGGAGGAAGTAGGCTTGCCTCAGAAGTAACTACGAGAATATAAATTATAACTGGTTATGCCCCTCTAGTACCTGGCGCCTCGTAGCTTCCGTTTTCTGTACGAGTACAAATTTAAGTACTTCCTTGCGTTTCTACTACACATAGTCAACTTTTCCGGTTCCCCTTCGGTATTCTGTATGTCGTGATCATTTCCGCACTACTTCTTCTCTCCTCTAGAGTAGTTAAGTTGGTTTCTCTTGAAATTTCCTCATAGCTTAGACCTCTTATAAGATTAGGAAACTTCCCTTGTTGCAAACTTATGTGTTTTGTTGTTTAGTTTCATTAGACGCTTCGCGAGGTGCAGATGGCATGCGGGTGCTGCAGGTTCTAGTACAGGTCTGATGTATGCTATGTAAATTGTCTTCAACAAGTCCTTGATTTGAGTGTCAACTTCCCCATAAACAACCAATGTTATCTTTTATATATGACTTATTCTTATGCTGCTAGCGTCTCTTTTATCTTACCCAGTCCTAAAGTTGCCCTTATCATGTGTATAACAGAGTGTGTAGCCGGTGGTGCAGCCTGATGTCTTGCAGCCTGATATTTTGCAGTCATATATCTTGCAACCAGATATCGTCAAGGCAGATATCATCCACCCATATATCTTGCAACCAGATATCGTCAAGGCAGATATCATCCACCCATATATCTTGCAACCAGATATCGTCAAGGCAGATATCATCCACCCATATATCTTACAACCGGATATCTTCCAGGCAGATATCATCCACCCATATATCTTGCAACCAGATATCGTCAAGGCAGATATCATCCACCCATATATCATGCAACCAGATATCGTCAAGGCAGATATCATCCACCCATATATCTTGCAACCAGATATCGTCAAGGCAGATATCATCCACCCATATATCTTGCAACCAGATATCGTCAAGGCAGATATCATCCACCCATATATCTTGCAACCAGATATCGTCAAGGCAGATATCATCCACCCATATATCTTACAACCGGATATCTTCCAGGCAGATATCATCCACCCATATATCTTGCAACCAGATATCGTCAAGGCAGATATCATCCACCCATATATCTTGCAACCAGATATCGTCAAGGCAGATATCATCCACCCATATATCTTGCAACCAGATATCTTGCACACATTTATGCAACTGATGAAGGTACGTGGAGGTGAAAGACCTATACGTTCTGAAGAGAAACTAGAGTTTCCCTTCACGTGGGAAGTTCACGTTCCCTTCACGTCACGAAAGCACGTGTGGAGGCACGTGTAGAGGCAGGTGTGGAGGCTCTGATCCCCCAGGACCCACTGTGCGTGTGTGTCACAGCTATGCGCACGTATCAAGAGAGTTTAACCCAACGAACCTCTTCGCACCAACTAATTTTAATGTGTAAAATCGTGCGCATATAACGAGGCTTACAGCGAGTAGCTTGTGTGTGTGTATAGCGATACGTGGAGCGAAAATTTGTTTACGATTAGAGAGAACCTCTCATCAAACGAGTTAGTTCGCTCGCCGCCATTTTTCGTGCAACATTGACGCCACCGGCGTTCGAATCCTGAATCACGAATACAAATTAAAATATGATCCATAAGCGTTTGATGTTATAATATAATAAACTTTATATATATATATATATATATATATATATATATATATATATATATATATATATATATATATATATATATATATATAAAGGAGATCCACGTGTGTGTGTGTGTGGCCGGAGACCTCGCTCTACCTGGCAAGTGTTTCACCAAGCTGTTGGTACACCCCTTTCCCTCTACAAATAGACATACAGCACGTGGGAATTACGAGTTACTTCTGCTAGGATCGCGCCCCCCCCCCCCCCGCCCCCGCCCCAGCAGTTTTATTCCTAGATCGAGGGGTCCCAGCCACTTGGGCAGGACGGTAGAGCGACGGTCTCGCTTCATGCAGGTCGGCGTTCAATCCCCCGACCGTTCACGTCCTTATCCTGACCCCCCCTTCCAAGTGCTATATAGTAGCAAGGGGAAAGCGCCAAGCCATTACTAATTCCTTCCTCCCCATTTCCTTGTATCTATTATCATCTACTTCTATTCACTCCTTCATATAGTACTCTGGTTCCTCTGTATTCTCTTCAGTCCTTTTCTCTCCATTTAACCATTTAGCCAATTGTCCTGCTCCCTTTTCATGGTGTTTGACCCTTTCCATTCTGTGTTTCCAGTTCTTCGACTGTTTCCCCTTCTTTTTATTCATTCAGGCGATTCCTCCTGCTCTTTGCTCTTTCAACTGGTTCCTCTCTTCACTCTCAACCATTCTTCCTTGTTCATTTGCCCCTTCAAGTGTTTCCTCTCCATGTTCTTGTTAATTGTCCTTTTTGGTTCTTTCTCTTGTTTCATGCTATCTTCTAGACATCTCTTTTTTTATTTCCTTTTACTCTTCTTTAGTACTTATTTATCCTTTATCCATTTATTTATCCATTATTTATCCTCTTAGCTTTTCTTATCTCTTTCGATCCCTTTCTTTCGTTGTTTTATCCCTTAATCCTCTTTCCTCTCTGTTACCTTACTAAGCAATTCTTTTTTCTCTCTTCCTGTATGTTCCTCTTCCATTCCTTCGTCTCTATGTGTACCTCTTCCCTGGGCCCTTTTCCTTCCCATACCCCTTTCAGTTTTTTATTCTTTTCCTATCCTCTTCAGATTAATCTTATTTGCCCGTTTATCATCCTTTTTTCCCTCTTGGTTCTTCTCTGCATTAACCTATCTGACCTTTTCACCTTGATTCTCTTCCATTAACTCTTTCCCCTCTTTTATTACCCTTTCCAAATATCTTTTCAATCCTTCTACCCCTTTTTAACTATCTTTTCTCTTTGCTCTATTCAACTCTTTCCTCTCCACAACCTCTTCAGCGGACTCTCTCTCTCTCCCTTTTCTAGGTCTCTTCAGCTTTCTTTCACTGCTTTTATCTGTTCTGCCCTTTCATCCTTCATCTTATTTTATCTTTCTGACCTCTTCCGCTAGCCACTGTAACACAGTGCTCTTTCATTTACCCTATTTAATGACCTCTTCCTTTGCCCTTTCAAGCCTCACCTTGTTCTCTTGGAGAAATTACTCCCATTTTTAACCCGTTTAGGAATGTCACCCCTTTTTCTTATCTCTTATATCTAGCCCTCTCAGTCCCTTTCCTAGTCATCTTAATCCTCTTTAATGGACCTTTTTCCCTTATCCACTAAATTATATTATGTAGAAACTTTATTAAGCCCTTTTTTTTTAATTAGGAAGCCCCTTTTAAGTACTTTTTCTCTAACCTATTCAGTCCTCTTCTCTGCTCTAATCAACCTCCTTTTCTGTGTTTTGCGTATAGCCATTTCAATCCCTTTTCCCGGCCAATACAATCCTCTTCTCTAATCCCCCTTGACCTCTTTATTTAGGCCGTTCAATCCTGTTCCCTTAACTCTCACATATTTCCAGCCCCTCTCTCTTATCTTGAGATGATTTCGGGACTTTAGTGTCCCCGCGGCCCGGTCCTCGACCAGGCCTCCACCCCCAGGAAGCAGCCCGTGACAGCTGACTAACACCCAGGTACCTATTTTTACTGCTAGGTAACAGGGGCATAGGGTGAAAGAAACTCTGCCCATTGTTTCTCGCCGGCGCCTGGGATCGAACCCGGGACCACAGGATCACAAGTCCAGTGTGCACCTCCCCTGATCTCCAGTATCAGCTCTTGATACTGGTAATGGCTCAAAAGGCCCACCACTTACGGGCTATTCATGCCCGTGCCACCTTTTTGGGTGGCTTAATCTTCATCAATCATCAATCAATGTTTTCTTTCTCCCTCTCAGTCCCTCTCAACACCAACCGGAACCGAGAGAGAGAGAGAGAAGATTAAGCCACCCAAAAGGTGGCTTGGGCATGAATAGCCCGTAGGTGGTGGCCCTTTTGAGCCATTTCCAGTATCAATAGATGATACTGGAGATCTGTGGAGGTGCGACTGCACCCTGCATGACGGGAGATGTCTCCCGTGTTGCCGGAACCTTTCTAACTCTGTATATATCTATATCCTCTACACGTCAGTCTGGCAGCCATGTTCTACAGAGACCTATGTCAACAGGAGGGGATGGAGCTGGTTTACTGGGGGGGGGGGGGGGTGTTGGAGGGGGTGTATTCACCTGGTTGTATTCAGCTACTTGTGCTTGCGGGGGTTGAGCTCTGCTCTTTCGGCCCGCCTCTCAGCTGTAAATCAACTGTTATTATTTTTTTTTTACACACACACACCCCAGGAAGCAGCTCCGCTACAGCTGTCTAACTCCCTTGTACCTATTTACTACTAGGTAACACGGGCATCAGGGTGAAAGGAACTTTGCCCATTTGTTTCTGCCTGGTCCGGGAATCGAACCCGGGCGAGAGAATTGTGAGTCCTGTGTGCTGTCCACTCAACCGTTGGGGGGGGGGGGGGGGGGGGGGGGGGGGGGGTAGGGGGTGGTTGGAGGGGACATACTCACCTAATTGTACTCATCTAATTGTGCTTGCGGGGGTTGAGCTCTGGCTCTTTGGTCCCGCCTCTCAACCGTCAATCAACAGGTGTAATGGAGTAATGGAGTCTCCGAGATGTCACTTGGGAATGGGTCATGTCACGTGTGATGTCATCTCTCCTGGGCCGCACTTCTTCTGACATTTTCCACTGCTAGGCTGTGATTGGTGGTCCATACACGGCTGTGATTGGTGGTCCGTACACGGCTGTAATTGGTGGTCCATACACGGCTGTGATTGGTGGTCCATACACGGCTGTGATTGGTGGTCTGTACACGGCTGTGATTGGTGGTCCGTACACGGCTGTGATTGGTGGTCCGTACACGGCTGTGATTGGTGGTCCGTACACGGCTGTGATTGGTGGTCCTGTCTATCAACAAGGAGGTTACCTTGAGGTGCTTCCGGGGCTCAGCGTCCCCGCGGCCCGGTCGTCGACCAGGCCTCCTGGGGTCCATACACGGAGGGAGAAGGATGCTATATTTCCCCTTGTGCATTAAGTCCTTGTGGAACACTGCCCCTGTGTGTGTGTGTGTGTGCAACAAAGCGTGTTCAGCTCTCCTTTGATATCTGCAATCTGTCCGCACTTGCACGAAGTTTCTCTTGCAATACAACTCGTAAAGTCAAACCATTTTATATCTCTCCTTCGGGTACTATACACAGGTTTTTAGATCTTCATTTCTTTCGAGGGAACGTCTCCAGTTCCCTTTACTTATACGTTTTATGCAGGCGATAAGTCACAATAACGTGGTTGAAGTATGTTGACCAGACCACACACTAGAAGGTGAAGGGACGACGACGTTTTAGTCCGTCCTGGACCATTCTCAAGTCGATTGTGGTCCGATTGTGGTCACAATCGACTTGAGAATGGTCCAGGACGGACCGAAACGTCGTCGTCCCTTATACGTTTTTTTTTATAAAGTAATGTCTTATTTCTCCTTCCAGTATAAAGCTTTTCTTACGTGTGTTAACTGGGAACCTCTGAGCTTTAAGTGCTTTCCATGCATTGATTATGACATGTATGTTTCGTTTCTTTTTCATAGAGCATGTTTTGTTTTGTTTAACGAAACAACGTTAAACAAAACATGTTTAACAAAACAACGTTTTGTTCAACGCGTGTTTTGACGCGTTGAACACTCTAGCAGCAGGCGCCACCCTTCAGGAGACCCCCAGACACAACACACCAGGCGCCAGTTATACTCACAGTATACTACCATGAGTTGCCATGATGTCAACTATTCATGACTGAGCTTAAGCTTTCACCTGTCTCTATCGGCATGCTAAGGATATGCTCCGGGACAAATCTGCTCCGTTGAACAAATCCACAAGGGCCGTGACGAGGATTCGAACCTGCGTCCGAGAGCATCCCAGACGCTGCCTTAACCGACTGAGCTACGACAGGGTCAGAAGGACTATGTCGCTCCGTTATTTCTAGGAGTTTGCTAGTACCCGAAGTCCAAACTGCTGACCGAACGCAGCGGAAATGTAATGGGATTCTACCATCCTCAGAGTAACGTTAGTCATTCTAAAAGTATCCCAACACAGTGGATAATATTATTAATATAACTCAAATGATTCCAAGACTTGCAGACGGCTTTTGGGCTCGCTAACAACGTTAACATTTAGTCATCGCAGAAAGAATTGCCATTGGCAAAGACATCAGTGACCGAAAGTATCGATCCTGTGACCAGTCGCTTAAACGTCGTCCATTATTTAGAAATCCAGCTGGTCTTGGTTCTGTGCTCAGTGGGTAAACTTGGAGTC